GGAGGTGGATGGTAGGTGGTGAGAAATAGCAGGTTGGATTCTGGGTATATGATGTCTCCTGTGTAATCGCTCTCTCTCTCTCCTTCCACCTCCCTCTCCCTCTCCTTTTATGTGAGCTAGTTTGGTTCATTTTGCACCAAAAACAGAGGAAAAGGGGGTGATGGTCACTGGGAGGATGTGGCTGGGGGCCTTTTGGTATGTGGGTGGGCTATGCGTTTTACCACAATTTTCATGTAGTTTTAGAGAACCCATGAGAATAGATTGAGTCACTCAAGGGTAGAAAGGGGCGAAGGCCAGGTGACAGCTCTGAAGGAGCTCCGCCCTCCCTGCTCAGGGGCCAGGGGTCAGCCTCTGGAGAGATGGCAAAACACTTCGCTATGGCACCTCCTTTTTGGTTCCTTCCCCTGTAGCTACCAGACATCTCTTGGCTGGAGAATGGTTGGGGGAATGGTGACCTGTAACTGGATCTTTCTTTTCAAATCTTTTGTTCGGAGCCAGTATACTGAGGATGTCCTCAGAGGACAGGGTCAACATCTAACAGATTGTTGGCGATGGAGAGAGGGAAAAGAGCCCCCGAAGCGTGTCTAAGTGCCTGGTGCGTGACTCACAATAAGCCAGATCCAGATATTATCACTCTTTTCATGGACCAGGACCTGGCACAGAAAGATATGGCAACCTCCTCAGGGTCATCGTGCAGGACTCACTGATTTCCCATCATCATCACTTGTCTAGTTCAGCAGAAAGCACTTCAGTGCTGATGAACTGAGAGGCCGAGAGGAGAAGACAAGGCAGCTGTACCGTTTTTATTCCACTAAGAGTTTAAGACCACGTGTTTGGTCAGAAGAGACCCACATAATCCTTACCAGCTGGCGTGCCTCCTCGCCTGCCTCCTGCCTCATTCCTTCAATTGTTCAATAAAATTACATTGAGCATCTTCTAGATGCCAAGTTCTGTTCCAGGCCCAGGGATAGATGGGAGGACCAAGACTAAACTGTGAAGCTGAGGTTTTAAGGAAAAGAGTAGTTAACCAGGTCAAGGGCGAGAGATGGGGAAAGTGTCCCACGAGGAAGGCTTGTGCAGATGCTCTGTGGTGAGGGGGAGTGTGGGTAACACCAGGGCCTGAAAGAAGACTGGAGGGGAGAAATGCAGAGGCAGGAGGCTGTGAGAGCGTCTGGCAGGTCACGCAGAAGGACTTTTTCACCCCAAGAGCCAGAAGATGCCATGGAAGTGCTTTAAATTAAGCAGGACTGCAACTTGATCAGATTTGCATTTTGAGAAGATAAAATCCAAATGTGTGTCATTAAAGGACTAATTGGATCCATTAGCATATATCCACACAGGGAACTCCAGGCATCTGTTCAAAAGAATAAATATAAACTAATAGCGTGATTTCTAAAATTATTTAAAAAAAACATATAAGGTACAGACAGTGGGTATTGTATTCTATCATTTGTGCAGAAACACACACACACACACACACACACACACACACAGTTGTTTGGTGTTATTCAGGGTAGTTGTGTTCTATGAAGTTGCCAGGAACACTGAATTAGCAGATACTGAACTATGGCTCCCAGAAGAAATGCAGGGTTGGGCTTCCATGAGGTTCTGGTCACAGTATTTTCACCAGCCAATCAGTGCATCCATAACCTTATTTTATGTGTGTTTTCTTCAAAGACATCTTTCTTCACATATAAGGTTGATTCATTAACACTGAATTCATGAGCCAGCAGCACGTAACTCATGCCTGAACAAAGCTCGCCTAACTCATGTATTTTCTCGGAAGGCACATCAAAGCTTTCCCGTGTTCTTAGGAACACTAGACAGCACTTTAGCACTATGATTGGAGGCCATTCCAAACAGCGAAATCAACATAAAGTACAAAAATGTGAAGAACGTGGCACTAGACAGACTGCAAACAGGACACTTACTTACAGGACCAGAGCTGAACGGGGAAGGCAGAGCATGGCCTCATTTGACCTCGGCTGGGGGGCTCGCGTTTTTCGTTGCTCTGCACGAGTTTGCTTACGCCTAAGAAAATGCCCCGAGGATTCATTTGGGGCTGACAAATAAACGTTAGCAGTAGACAAATGTGCAAATATGAAACTGTGAATATGAACATCAACTTTACAGGGGAAATCGTCTCAACCTTAGACATAAACTGCAAAAATAAAAATAGTACATGAATATTCATCAACGGTTTACCCAGATTTCACCCCCTTTGCTTTATCAATTATGCGGCCACCCTCCCTCCCATGTACACACACACAAACACACTTGTTGTTCCTGAATATGAGGGTAGGTTATATACATCGTGATCCTTTACCCCTAAATATGTCAGTGTGTGTTTCCTTTAAAAGGGATTCTCTTTCATAACCACAGTACACTTATCCACCTTGGTGCATTTAACATGTATACAGTGCTTTTACCTAATCTACCATTCTCCTTCACTCTGGAACAAACACATCCGCAGCCTGTCACTGTGTTCTGTGGTATTGACGCTTTGTAACCCACACTTTTTAAAAAATAGAAGGTCCCTCAGTTTAAGTTTGTCCGATGGTTCCTCACAGTCAGATTCAGGCTATGCATTCCCCCCTGAAATGCTGCCTAGGTGATGACGTGCAATATGGCTGCTCTAAAACACACGGCGTCTCTAGGAGGGAATCTAAAGAAACTGGTGCTGGGATTGTCTTTGGAGAAGACCTGAGACCCTGGAGGAGAGACCTGGGGAGGAGAGTGACTTCCCACTCTCTGCCCTTACAGGCCTTTGAATGGTACAAGGTGTATGCAGTACCCATTCAGAAACTAATTTTTTAAAAACCATCATTCATTGTTGTTTTTTAAAAAATATGTATCTTGCCCTACCGGTTTGGCTCAGCGGATAGAGCATCGGCCTGCGGACTCAAGGGTCCCAGGTTCGATTCTGGTCAAGGGCATGTACCTTGTTTGCGGGCACATCCCCAGTGAGGGGTGTGCAAGAGGCAGCTGATCAATGTTTCTCTCTCATAGATATTTCTAACTCTCTATCCCTCTCCCCCTCCTCTCTGTAAAAAATCAATAAAATATATATTAAAAAGAAAGAAAGAAAAGGAAACTTTAAAAAAATATATATGTATCTTTATTGACTTCAGAGAGGAAGGGAGAGGGGGAGAGAGATAGAAACATCAGTGACAAGAGAGAATCATTGATTGGCTGCCTCCTGCACGCCCCACACTGGGGATGGAGCCAGCAACCCGGTCATGTGCCCTGATTGGGAATCGAAATGTGATCTCCTGGTTCATAGGTGGATGCTCAACCACTAAGCCTTGCCAACCGGATCATAAACTAATTTTTAAAATCCTGTAAGGTCGGTGAATCTGTTATTATTACCCCTATTTTCCATATGGAGATACAGGCTCAACGAGAGTGAGTATCAGGAAGGCCTCGGCTCCTGGCCTGTGGACCTATGCTTGCCGTCACTCAAAGTGCTGCCCTGAAATTAGGTGGGTGTAGATTGCGATGAGAGCAGCAGAGGAACCAGGGGGCCTGGATGTATAAGCCACCCCCCTCCCCCGGCAACTTCAGTGGGTGCAGTAAGGCCCTCCCTTACCCAGATATCCAGGGAAGGTTTCCTAGGGGAGGAGATACTTGAGCTGTGTGGAAAGGTGAGAAGGTAGCCAGGTGTCCAAGGGTTACAGGATGGAGGGAAGGAAGAGAAAGCAGGAAGGAGGGTATTTCAGACAGAAAGTGCCCTGGATCCAGGGTAGCAGGCTTGCAAATGTGCACACCACATCCAGGCTTGCAAAGATTAGGATCTTCCCTGGCAGTCTCACCGTGGTGTGCAGCGGGGAAGCCTGGGCTTGCCTTTTAACAATAGACTGGTCTTTGTACATTGTGCAGGTCTCCTTTCAGTCAAAGGATTCCGTCCATTTGGTGATGAACTCCCTCGTGTGGCTGGTTTCCCACACTTGAAAACTCACTGTCTTTCTCAGCTCTGTCCCTCTCACTCCCTCTCCCCAAGATGCCCTCTGGTTGTCGGGTATATGAGGGCTCTTACTGTACCCACTAAAGTTGGGGCAGGGGAGTCCCCATACACCCAGGCCCCCTGGTTCCTCTGCTGCTCTCTCTGAGGAGAGGGGCACCGGGCGTGGCTTTTCATATACTAATTGTAGCTAAAAGAATTGAGAGGCTCTAGCTCCCTGGCCTTTAGCACTTTTGTTTTCCCGTTTACTTTGTCAAGGTTTAAACTACTTACATTCTGTTCTGTTTATTACATGTTTTGTCTGCAGATTGAGTCTAAGATAGTAAACCGCACATAAATAACATCATTATAACATATAATTACCATGTTTGTGTAAATATTATTTGCTGCAGAATCAAGTAGTATAAAAGAAGAAAATAACTTTATATTGCTTACTAAACATCTGTAGGTCAAAGGACAATACATATTCCAGACATAAAAGTCTAAACTAGTATCATTCATTTTTTTTTCTATGTTTATATTTATTTTTACACTCAGCTTCCATTTTTAAAAAAATCTCTCTTGTTCTTTGTTGAATGACTTTGGCAAGACATCTCCTTGAGTGATTTCTCCATATGCAGTGCTTGATTGGTGTATTTTCTGACTCCCTGGATTTCAGAAAATGTCTTTATTTTGCCTTCACTTTGAGTGGTAATTGGGCTGGTGATAGAATTACAGATTCAAATGAATTTCCTGCAAAATCTGATGTTAGGCTGAATCTCATTTTTCATATGTAACCTGCTTTTTCTTTTGGTAAACTTACACGATTTTCCCTTTATGCTTTAAATTCTGAAATTTTACCCAAGTGCATTTAAATGTGGTATTTCTTTACTCATTCTCATTGGCCCTCAGTGGGTTCCTTAATATAACACAAAACCAAAACCAAACATTTATTTTTTAAAAAAATATATTTTTATTGATTTTTTATAGAGAGGAAGGGAGAGGAAGAGGGATAGAGAGTTAGAAACATCGATGAGAGAGAAACATCGATCAGCTGTCTCCTGCACACTCCCTACTGGGGATGTGTGTGCAACCAAGGTACATGCCCTTGACCAGAATCAAACCTGGGACCCTTCAGTCCGCAGGCCAACGCTCTAGCCACTGAGCCAAACCGGTCAGGACCATTTATTTGATTTAATACCAAAATGTATTATGAGGAAAACAAAGATGGCAATAACGTCACCACCCAATTAACATTTTATTCCAATTAACATTTTTAAAGCATAAAATTATACAATATCACGCAAAGGGTGAAACATGAAAAGTATCACTCTTCTTCGTCCTCACCTACAGTCGGTCCCTCTACCCATCTACATTGGCTCATTGGTTATCCATCCACCCAGGGAAAAAAATGTTTATACCAGCATATAGTGAATACTATCTATGAAAAGCAAATCTGTTTTAAAAGATTATACAGATAATAAAGGTTCAAGCTTTCTAAGTATTGCCCATCTAGATGAAAATATTGGTGTTTTCATGTGTATTTCTTCAGCTGGATGTATGGCTTGGCATTGTTTCTTCTGTTTATTGGCCATCTGGATTTCTTTTTCCTGTTCTTGGCCTCAAGGGATCTTTCCCCAATGACCCGTGTCTTTCTTTGCCTCAGGAAAATGTCCTCCGGTCACTTCCTCAATGGTTCCCTCTCCCCTCGCCTCTGCTGTTCCCCTGCATCCAGACATCTGGATTTGTCCTCGTGTCATTTTGTTTTTATCTCACATCTTCCATCTGGTGGTCTTTTCCTTCTGCCTTAAAGGAAATGTTTCTCAACACTGCCTCTGACATTTCTCTTGCTTTTACAACACTTTCAGATGACTGTGGTTTTTTAAAAAATCAAAGTAGTGCATGAGAGTGACATTGTGAATAAAGTATGGTTTATACGGTTTACAGAGCACTGTTCTGCAATGTCTTACTCCTGATACCCATTATTAAACTTTTTAGCTTTTTTTTTTTTTTTTTTTTTTTTGCTGCGAATTTCTGTATTTCTTAATACTAGGCATTATCTTTGACTTCCTTTTATGGGAGATGAAGATTTAGCACTAATACTACCTCCATGCCCCCACTGCCCTTCTCTCCATCCTACTGTCGCAGTTATGTCCCAATTTCCCGTTAAATTATTAGTTATTTGGGGGTGGGGGGTTAATATGTGAGTGTAGTTCATGGCTGAGTCAAAAAGTTCATGATGAGCCCTGGCCAGGGAGCACAGTTGGTTAGAGCATCATACTGATATGCCAAGGTTGTGGGTTCTATCCCTGGTCAGGGCACATACCAGAATCAACCAATGAATGAAAAAGTAAGTAGGACAACAAATTGTTGTTTCTTTCTCTATCTCCCCCTTCCTCTCTTTCTAAAATCAATCAATAAAAAAATGTTCATTATGATTTTCCTGGAGATTATTATTGTTGTTGTTATTACTTAGATTGATATGTACCTTTAACGAAGGCCTTCTAAACGCTCCCAAAGGAATTTTAAAGGACTTGAATTTGGAAGAGTCCTTTTCCACGGATTGGCCCCTTCCTTTGTTTCTCTCCTTCTTGAGTTTTGAGGACAGAGCCAGGAAAGGCAGGACCAGGGTGTCAGGAAGAGACGAGAGGCAGGAAAAGGCTGGGGCCTGGAAAGGGGAGAACAGTCCACGGCAATCCGGGACTGGAACTTTAGGAGTCTGTCGTCTGACCTCACAATGTCTCCACCGAAGCTTTATTTTTCATGGTGGGTGGTTCCCAGTCCTTCTCTCCCACTGCAGCCCACCCTCAAGCTGAAAAGCTATACCGGACTTTGCAGGAGAGTTCTAACACTGTAGCACTATTATTTTTCAACCTAGCAAGAAAGCAGAAACCCTGAAAGCAGAAGGGATGCTGAGGTTCTGAGGCAGGACGTGTCTGAGCCACCAGGGGCCGCTGCTTCCCCATGCTCAACCCAGGAATCTGGCTGCCCTCTAAGAATGCAGTCCCGGCTTGAACCAGAGACCCTAAGGGAGTCCTCCAACCCTATGGGGCCTCCCCATCTTCCCAAGGTCCTCAGCACAGTCTTCAGTCTGCGTGCCCTCCAACCTGACAAGACGGGGTATGGGGGAGCTTGGCAATTGCAGATGCCACAGTAGCAATCTGCACTGGGCCATGATTTTTCTGCGCTGTCAGCATTGATCCTGTTGTAGGGGACTGCCTGCCTGGTTTTCAGGGGCCTGGCTAACTGCTGGGTCCCCTTCCTGAGAGAGGAAGGCTGGCTTTCAGAGATGTGGGCCCCTGGGGTGGAGGTTCCGGTTAGGTCAGTGGTCTCCAAATTGGGGTGTGCAAGATGGTCTGTTGGAGGTACAGGAAGAAAACACCATGCTTTTATTTATGTATTTATATTTTTAATCTAAAAATGCGAATGTGGCTTCATGAATATTTGATATCCAGATTGGTGCTGGCTCTCCCATGTGGGTTGTATGCCCGACAGCCCTGTGTCAGCAAGCGTGCGTGGCGTCCTAAGAGGGGAATGGGGAGCCTTGCCCACTCAGCAGTGACGTGCCCTTGTGGACTGGACTTACACAGTCTATTACATAGTTTAGCCAAAGTAATCCGCACAGCATGGACAGGTAGCTTTTAAGGGTTCCTTAGAAGAAACCAAAGTTTGAAGGTAACACCTAGAGTTCCTGCACTTTTGAACCAGAGAAAATAAATGGCTGGGCTGTTGCTTCCACTCCTGTGTGAACACTTAGCTGCATTCTGACATAAAAACAGATCTGACATCAGACTCCCAAACTCAGACCTGTCAGAACTATTTAAAATTATATCTATTATCATTGAGGATGGGCCTTATACTATAATATCAAAAATAGCTGTGCCTTGTCCCGACTGGTTTGGCTCAGTGGATAGAGCGTAGGCCTGCGGACTCAAGGGTCCCAGGTTCGATTCCGGTCAAGGGCATGTACCTTGGCTGTGGGCACATCCCTAGTGGGGGGCGTGCAAGGGGCAGCTGATCGATGTTTCTAACTCACTATCCCTCTCCCTTCCTCTCTGTAAAAAATCAATAAAATATTTTTTTAAAAAATAGCCGTGCCTTGACATCAGCAGTAGTAGTGAGTGAGACAGTTCGACTCCGTGGTATGTCAGGGGTGCCGGCAAAGACCTGTTTGCAGGCTGAGGTGTCGATCGAAAGAACTTGGAAATCGCTGGGGGGTGTGGCCGACAACAGTCCAGCGTCCCTGTCCTGACATTTCTCGCGTTGGCTGTGGGCCAAGGGCCTACGCGTTGGGTTTGTGAAGATTGTAGCTGATGCTGTGTTAGTGCCAGACATTGGCACTTGGATCCTTTGGGATTTGGTTCAGATTTTCAAACCTGAACCAAATTTTGAAATTGGGTGATTTTGTTTGGTTTTGGTCTGCTTCATGAGTGTCTGATTCCTGTCAAAGAGGAGGAAGAGGAGGAGGAGGAGAGGAGGAGGAGGAGGAGGAGGAGGAGGAGGAGGAGGAGGAGGCAGCCTTCTGTTGTGTAGCCTTCTACCCTGCTCACTGAAGTGTGTCTACTTTGTGGACTCCTGGGGGTCCACCCTGGTTTACTGCACATTTTCCCATCCTGCACAGGCAGGGCCGCCCTCAGTCCCCTTCCCTGTGTTTCCTTTTAGGTGCAAAAGATTTAAAAATCTCATGGGATTTGTCCAAAGCTTGACAGAGGCAGAGGTCATTTAAGTGGACTTACTGAGAACAGACGTAAGGTCCTCCTTTGTGTCACTTCTTGCCAAAGTGCCTTCCAAAGACCAAGGGTATCCGGAGTCCGTAGAATAACTTTAAACATGCAGATTCCTGGGCCCCATTTGCAACCTCCTGACTCAGAATCTGTGAGTGGGCCAAGGAAAATGCATTTTAAACAAACCTTTCTCCTACCAACTGGTCATTCTGAAGCACACTCAGAATTTTAAGAAACATTACTTTGTATAATGATACTTTTAAAAACTATAGTTGTTTTTTTAAAGAGTTTCTTACCTCAATTTATTTTTTTTAACATGGGAAAAGTAAGGCCTGGCGGCCTTCTATTGATTTGAAGCACAAGGGTGGACTGAGGGGCTCAGTGGGGGGTTGGGGGGAAAGGGCAGCCATTCACCTAAGTGTGTGAGAGTGTTAGCAGCAGGTGGGACCTGACCCTCCCTGCCCAGTCCTCCTGCACACAACTGGACACTCAAGATTGTGAGTGAGATGAGGCTCCACACATCAATGAAGAGGATCCTGGCCTGAAGTAACTCCAGGGGAAGGAGGTGAATTTCTGGGGCAAATTCATCCCTGAAACCAGATCCCACCTGGGCCCAGTAGGAATTAGAATCCCACTCATCTTCAGAGAATGACTTTACAACTCACAACTTAAAGGCTAGCCCCTCCAGCCACATGACCAGCAAAATCCACAGAGATCCTGTAGCAAAAGATCAGCACAATGGCATGTTGGCCTCAGACACTAAAGAGCGCAGGCAGGAATCAGAGCTCCGTCTCCTGCCCCCCACCCCTCGGTCAGTCACAACTCTCTCAGGGCTTCGCTGGAGAACAGCCCCTTCCACAGGAGCCATTGTGCCCCCACGCTGTCCCAGGCTGGGCAGGCACCACTCCCCAGTGCTCCCACGGTCTCTGGGCCTGCCTCTATCTTGTCACTTAATCACTCTGCCTTATATGGCCCCGGTTGGGTGTCTGCCTCCCTGGACAGGAAGTCTCTTGGAGGTAGGGCCTGGGTTCAGTAAACGTTTGGAAAATGGACAGGCTCATCACTGGGGCTTCTCTTGTGTCTAACTTAAGTCATTATCACCTCAAGCGCCCTGGTACCCCGCTGAGGCAGAGCCCTGGCAGCCATTTGAGCAATGTCAGGGCGGTGAGAAACATCTAGAATGTCCATTTTCTGTGTCACGGGGAGGAAGCAAACCTGGCGTTAGGGCTGCAACCTCAAACCAGGGCCGCATGGCCTCTTGCCACCTTGTCACTCTGGGCCTACCTCCAGATGTGCACCCTGCCAGGCAGGAGGGACCGCTGTGTTTTCTTCCTCCTAGAGGCTGAGAAATCCAGCAAGCAAGGCGAACCAGCTATCAAACCCCACCTCCGAGCCAGCTCTCCCGACTCCTCACCTCTTCCTGCAGCCAAGAACGTACATACGTAGGGTACATGGCCAATGAGAGTCTGGCTTCTGCTTTCCCACCTTTCCTGGCAGCATTCACAGCCCTTCCTGATGGTGAGCAATGCAAGTTCCAGGCATGCCTTGTTTCGTTATTGGCTTCCCAGGTGTCACTGTAACCACAGGGCGAGTCCTTAACTGCTGTGGGCTGATAAACATGCAAATTCCTGTATGCAAACAATGTTAGGCTGCAGCTTCTTTCCCACTAAGACTGACACATGGCAACAAGCTCAGAAAATGGGTGGAAGTCCAGGCCTTCCCAGCACTGTCCCACATTCCTGGTGACCAGGTATCTGGGGAGACAAGCTGCCTGTCCCCTCATGGGGCAGCCAGGAAACAGTACACACTCCACTCATGCAGGTCCCTAGAGGGTGGGAAGTGACTGAAACAGGAACAGCCCAGTCCTGTTAGGGGTTGTCAACATAAGAAATGTCCAAACCTGTAGAGAATTTTTATAAGAGTTTGAGCCAAAACTGACAACATATGCTGCATGCAGAACAATTTCTCCAATGCTCCGGAGAACGGCAATTTTGCAGTGTTTTGTCTTTAAACTTAATTTTTCAATTATAGTTGACATTCAGTATTATTTTATATTAGTTTCATGTGTACAGCATAGCGGTTAGACAGTTATACAAATTTACCAAGTGATTCCACCCAATAATTCAAGTACCCACCTGGCACCAGGCAGTCATTACCATATTATTGGCTATATTCCCTAGGCTGTCCTTTACATCCCTGTGGCATATTTTGTGACTATCAGTTTGCATTTCTTAATCCCTGCACCTTTGTCACCCAGCCCTCCAACCTCCCTCCCCTCTGGCAACCATCAGTCTATTCTTTGCATTTATGAATCTTTTCTGCTTCCTTTACAGTTTCTTTTATGCACTTGAGATTAAAGGGGGAAGGAATGGAAGATTACTTGAGGGTGGAGAAAGCAAGGCGGGGATTGGATTACAGGATAGTCAAAATTATGTGCTCTCTCAAGGGTGGTTATGACTTAATTTCAAAGGGTGTTAGCCTAGGTGCACAAACACAATGGACAGTGCTTGCTTAAAGCAATGATACAAACTTTTACTAAAGAATTTGTATGCCTGGGGTGTGACTACCACCATGACCTGCCCAGTTAGGAATTCTGAGTCAGAGCACCCTGTGAGGTTATTTTCCATAGAACCCCTTTGTTTGTCCACAGGGTAAGAGTATTTTTTGCTTCAGTGGTGTTTTTTACGTTGGTGCAGTTAGTTGTGTGTGTGCATACGATATGAGGAGTTTCTACACCATCATGGAAAACCTCAGCCCTGTGGCTTTCAACTTTCTTTCTTCTCCTTCTTTTTTAAAAATATGTTTTTATTGATTTTTAGAAAGAGAGGAAGGAAGAGAGAGAGAGAGAGAGAGAGAGAGAGAGAGAGAGAGAGAGAGAGAGGTGAAACCAGGCAGAAACCCGGACATGTGCCCTGACCGGGAATTGAACCTGCAACCTCTTCGGTGCATGGGAGGACACTCAACCAACTAAACCACAGTGGCCAGGCAGCTTTCAACTTTCTTGACGCCTCAAGTCCCATCAGTAGCTGTGATCCTTGCTATGGGGCAATGGTGGTTTTTCCAGTGGGGACCAAGGAACAGCCCTACTTGGCCCATTTTCTCAATTTTCAACCTAGAGCCACAGGGACTAGGGATGGGCCATATTTCCTTCCCCTAAGCCCTCAGTGGAGCAGGGGGAGTCACCCAGGTGGCGCAGGGCGAGGCCTGAGGGGCCTGCATCCAGGTCCCTGACCCTGAAGGTGCCTGTGGGGAGGAGATGACACTCAAGGGGGGCAGATTCCTGCAGAGGGATCCGCCTGGGAGCAGGCCCAGTGGTGCAGGAGCCTAGAGAAGGCCAGGGTCGGCTCCCCGGTACCTGATGGGAAGCCGGTAGAGGGAGTCACTCTGGGGCTGGGATTTTTTACTGTCAGGGGTCTGGAGGCAGTTGGTTTTTACCTGATTTGATTGGCATCGAACAACAAAAAACAAAGACAACAGTGGAGTGGGGTTGCTGAGATGGAAGCAACAAAAGGAGTCCTAATACAGTGCCCGGAAGCTTCCGGGAAACGGAACAAGGGGATTTGGGGATCCAAAAGGCGGGCCGGGTGAGGGCGTGGAGAGCCAGGGAGGAGGCGAGTGGGAGCGCAGTGGAGGGTGGAGGGTGGAGGGCGGAGGGCGGAGGGCGGAGGGCGGAGGGCGGAGGGCGGAGGGTGGAGGGTGGAGGGCGGAGGATGAGGTTGGAGGGCGCCTGGCCTCCCGCGCCGCCAGGGGGCGCCCTCCCGGGCTCAAGACCTGCCTCCTGGAGGGCGGGCCGGGCCGGGCCCAGGCTGAGCTCCCGCGGGTCCCGAGGAATGTGGCCTTTGGCTCGTCCCCTGTTCACATTCCGGCGGCGCAGGAATGTGAACAGGGTGTTCACTGCGCGCCCTGAACGCACGAGTTCGGTCCCTCCCGTCAGAGAACGCCGGGCAGCGGCCAGGGCTGGTCCCCTCTGCTCCCCCTGCCCCCCCAACACACACACACACACACACACACACACACACACACACACACACACACACACAGCCCGCAGAGCCTCTGGGTCACACACACACACACACACACACACACACAGCCCGCAGAGCCTCTGGGTGGAGGTCACGGCCCTGAGAGCAGGCAGGCCAGCGGGGCCTCAGGACCAGGGCCGGGACAGGGGCACCTTGAGACCAGGTGTGGTTTAGAAAAGGAGGGTAACCAAAAGCAGTTCTACTGAGGCCCCAAGAAGGCCAGCCAAGAGCTGGGAGGGGAGACAGGATCCACGCTCTCCACCAGCAGCTTCAAGGGGCACGGAGATCAGACCCTGAGATGCGCCCACCTTCAGGGCATATCGTGGATGGCAAGGCCTGGAGAGAAAGGAAGAGGGGGAATCCAGCTTGGGATTAGGTGCTTTCTGACCAGCCAGGGAGTGACTGAAAACCCAGGAGTAAGCATTCCGTTCATTCGACAAATACTGGCCGAGCTTCTGTGCCAGTCCCTGAGCTCAATCCTGGGAGCACAGAGGTGAACAAGGCATGCCCTGGCCTTGAGGAGCTGACCTTCTAGAGACACCTAGAGACAGCGAGGAAGCCCAAGCATGGTGTTGGGGACTCAGAGGAACCCCTCTGAGTAGGGGTGGGGTGGGGTGGGGTGGGGGGGATCTAGGAGGGATTTTCCGGGGAAGCTGCAAAAGGATCTGAAAGGCCACTTAGGAAGTTAGCCCAGAAGATGGGGGAAGAGTGTTCTGGACACTGAGGGAACCTTGTGTGTGGAGACTGAGGGCAGAGCATGTGGTCCGAGTGCCCCCAAGCAAAGCCTGGGCTTGGCCCTCTTTCGCCCCTGCCCCCCCCCCCCACACACACACACACCTGCCAGGTGGCCAGCTGCATCACAGCAGGGATCACGGTGCCCACCTCAGTCGATTCCATGATCTTGGTTGATTAGGAAGCCCATTCTGCAGGAGGCACAGGAGTGGGCCTGTGAGGAGGGTAAGAAGGAAGGTTCGGGACCGGGCATAATGCTTTGGAGACTGTGTAGACTGAGAGGTAAGGCCCATAGCATCGGGCATGGCGCCTGGGACCTAACAGGTGCTCAGTAAACACTGACTGGTCTCAACACTTGGCCTGATTTTCAGACTCTTTTTAAAAAAAAAATAAATTTTTTTTAATTGGTTTCAGAGAGGAAAGAAGGGGGCGGGGGGAGAGAGAGAGAAACATCAATGATGAGAGAGAACCAGCTAGGGCGATTCTCGGACTCTTTATCTTCCCCCTTAAAGGAGCCATTTCTACCCCTGAAAGGGCAGCTGTCCAGTTCTACATCCCTGAGGGGGTGCTTGGGGGAGGAGGTGGACACAGTCATGGAACTTCCTGTTGTTTTGTCCCTCCCTGGTTGAGGAGGGGAGCATGCTGGAGATGAAAGTGGTGTGATTGGCTATCGTAAGGTCCTGAATGAATGAAGCAGGGAGGGTCAGGGCCAGGAAGGCTGGAATTGGGCCATCGTCCAGGAAAGGAGTGATAAAAGCTGATAAGAGCTGAGGAAGGGAGAAGAGACAACAGTGATGGGAGATAGACACTGAGGCAGCAGATGGGACCAAATGTTTTAGCTGCTTGGATGCAAGGTGGGACCATGGCTCCAAGTCCACAGTCAGATCCTTACCTGGTGTGGGGAGTATGGATCTGATCACAGAAAGCCACCAGGTGTCCCACATGTCCCCACCTGTGTGTCCCAAATGATCCTGAGTGAAGGGACAGGAATGTTTACATCCAGACATTCCTTGTCCGGCCCCCCTCCCAGGAATGCACTGGACCTAAATTATTCTGTGCAGAGGAAAAGTGCAGGCCTTGGATGTCTTCTCCAGCATTGTTCCTTGGCAAACACAGGAAGATGGGTTTCCTTTAGATTTGTGGTGCTGACAACTGAATCCGGACCCCTTCCCCCCACCCTCCCCTTTGGGGTGGAGGTTGGAGGGGGAGGGAGGAGACCAGGCAGTGGATGGAAAATAAACACCCACCCTCTGCTCCTCTGACTTATTTCATGTTCTTAGAATTTCCTCTCTTGGATTCCGGCTTTGTTATGTTAAAATTCCACACATTGGCTGGGCTGGGAAAATCCCTGTTGCTGTTGCCGTGGAGAGAGGCAGCTGTACACTGGGGCCCAGGCCTGAAGCCCCGGCCCATGAGCCTGCAGCCCAGTGTCCTAGTAGCTCCTGAGTCAGCCTGTGTGAGGGAGGCTCTCGGGGCTGGGTGTGTGCGCCCCTGCATGAGCTGTCCTAGTCCCACCGTGGGGACGTGGCAATGTTTTGGTTTCAGCTGCCTGGGCCAGGGCCAGGGCCAGGCTAGAGTAATGATGGCTCCGTTAGGAAGTGGTGGAACCTCCAAAGGGATCTTCTGGGGGGCCTGTGTGGTGCGTGCACTGAGAGGACACCCAGGCCACCAGAAAGCTGCCCCTGCCCGCCTGCCTGGGCTGCCCCCTTTCCTGAGCTCTGTGTGGCAGAAGGGGGTAGTTGCTTTCCTGTACAATGTGGCTCCCGCCTCTTGCCCTTCTCTTCTGACACCCACTGCCCACAAGAACGATCATCGTAGTGTTTCTTTATCTCACCGATTCATTCATTCGTTCGTTCCTGCACTTATTTGATAAATATTGATCAAGTACATACCAGGTGTTGGGCACGGTGCTGGAAATCCAGAGACAAATAAACTGGAAAAAAATGGAAACAACCTTAGGATCCTAACAGTTAGACACAGAACGTATGAACTACTTACATGACTCAGGACTGGGACGAGGGTGAAAGCAAGTGAGGTACTTGCCAAGATGAAGACTATAAGGGGTACCAAGAAATTCTGTAATCAAGATAAGTAACATTTTAGCAAATAAAAATCAACCCATGGTGAACAAAACAGCAAAATTTTAAATAAAGACAGGATCAGTAACAGTTTTATGCGAGGCCTATGGGGACCTGAGGCAAAGGAAAAATGAGTAATACTGGTCCTATGTTCAGAACTGAGTACGGCTTTGAGAGAATGTCACCATATAAGCATAAAATACGTCGTGGACATTTGCTTGTTGACAGAAAGAAACTCATGGCATATATTTGAGTGAAAAATGAGAGGACACAACCATATATAAAGTAAGTTCCTATTGAAAATATATTTGGGTGTTAGAAACTGTAAGAGCATATGCAGAGATGTAAAAGCTCTTTTCTCTCTCGTATTGCCTTTTTCTTGTTTGTGTTTCCTGATTATTTTAATAGTGAACATGTAATGCTTATATAATTTTATTAAAGTTATTTTAAACACACACACACACACACACACACACACACACACACACAAGAGAAGTGTAGCAGAGCACACTGGTCCGCGGCAGAGCTGACCATGAGCTTGCTGACCTATGAGAGCCCGGAGGACTGTCCAGAGCAACCCTTCTCACACTGGCCAGGAGGCAGGGCCAGGATGGCCACCTCCCTTTAGAAAGGAGAAGCCAAGGCTCAGCGAGGTGGAGGCACTCAGAGAAGAGCTGCCAGCTGGCCTTGGCCAGGTGGCCCAGCTGGTTGGAGGGTTGGCCCGGACACTAAAAGGTTGTGGGTTTGATTCCCAGTCAGTCAGGGCAAATACCTAAATTGTGGGTTTGATCCAAGGTTGGGACATGTTTGGGAGGCAACCGATTGATGTTTATCTCTCACATTGATGTTTCTCTCTCTCTTTTTCTCTTTCACACTTTCTCTCCCTAAAATCAATAAACAGACCCACGGGCTAAAGAAGAAGAAAAAAGAGCAGCCACCTGGGCCTGGTGGGATGGGCCTGTGTCTGCAGGCCATCCTGCTGGGATCCACATCGCCCAGAGCATGGCATGCTGGCTTTGGCTTCCAGCTTCTTCCAAGATGAACCTTCGAGGTCTCTCTTCTTCATGGCCAGCTGTCCTCCCTCGACCTACCTCTTCCATTTGGTGCTTTTCTTACCCGAGAGCAGAACTGTCAGAAGAAAACCTGCAAGAAATATCTGGACAGATGTGGCTGGCCTCTCTTTGGGCCTTCGGTGAATGACGAGCGGGCTTCTGAGTGACTGAGAAAGTATTTGCAATGTTGTGTTTTTCTCTCTGACGCAGACACACTCCGCAGACTGGCATGAATCATCCCCTAAAGCCTCCACCTGCCTGGAAATGCCTGGTGGTTCTTCCCAGAGTTCAGAAGCCATCAGCCCTGCATGCCAGCAGGCTTAGCTATTCCCACCCAGCCACAAACCTTTGCCCCTCCACGGGGAAGACGCCAGGAGAGGGACCCAAGGCGGAGGTGCCACCCCTGGACCTGTGGCTACTCTGGGCTGTGCTTGCATTCCACAGCCTCAGAGCTGAGACCCTCCTGAGTGCCCTCTCTGTGACTTAGTAGGCTATGGTCTTAAGCGTAATGCCTGTGGGGGACAAAATAGAGGCCTTTTCTCTCCTAAGAGATGGGTTTCCAGGTTCCAGTTGCCCTCAGCAGTATGTGGTCTCTGCTTGTCTACTGAATGCCACGAAGCAAGCGTGGCCTCGGTTCTACGCATCGGTGTGGCAGATTGCGTATCCCACAGGCAGCCGTGGTAGTATTCTCCTTGCAGCTAGCTCTGGCTGTGGAACTGAGTTATGACCAAAGACATGTCAGTAGAATTCTCATGTGGAAATTTCTATTTAAGTTTCTTTCAAGGGAGGTGGGGTGCTCTTCTTGTCCATTTCTTCATCCTGCTGCCAGTAATACAGATGTGATGGCTAGAGCACTGGCAGCCTTCTTGGGCCGTGAAGACTTGAGGTGGGGCAAAGCTTTAAACCCCGAAGCAATGAAAGAAAAAATGAACATATTTGACTAGATTAAACTTTTAAACTTTTTATTTTATATTTTATCCTCATCCGAGGATATGTTGTTGTTTTTAAAAATTGATTTTAGAGAGAGAGCAAGAAGAGAGTGAGAGAGAGAGAAACATCGATGTGAGAGACAAAAATCTATGGGTTGCTTCCTATACCCGCCCTGCCCTGACCTGGGACTGAACCTGAAATCTAAGTATGTGTCCTCATCAGGAATCAAACCCAAAACCTTTTGGTGAACAGGTTGACGCTCCAACCAACTGAGCCACCTGTCCAGGGCAAACTTTTAAAATTTTTGTGGCAAAAGATAACACAATGATAACAAATCAAGAGATTTGGAAACTGTATTTATAAATCTGAACAAAAGGTGGAAAAAACTTTTACAAATTGACAGGAAAAAGATTATTTAACCAATAGAAATATCGGCGACTTATGGAAGAGCAGTTTCAAAGAGCCAAAAAATATGAAAAAAATCACTAGAAGTTAGTGAAAAAAATGAAAAGGATTGGTAATACCTATTGCTAGTGGACACACAGAGAAAGGGATATTCATATACTACATTGTTTATAAAAATGTGCATTTCATAGTCTTTAAAAACCAATCTGGCAACATCAATTAAAATCATTATGTAAAATTAAGTATAACATACACATTACATATGTATAAGTATATTTGGACCACCAATCCATTCCTTATCATCTGTTCTCAAATATTTGTTTCAAATAATGATGATTATTGTGGCATTTCCATAGTGTCCAAAAATTAGAATTGAATGTCCAGTCACAGGTAAATGGCTGTGCACGTTATGGTACATCCATATGTAGGAATGCTATACAGTCATTAAAAAGAATGAAATAGAACTATACCAGTGATAAATTTTCCTTAATGATGAATAAGGAAAGCTAGATGAGCCTGGTAGGTGTGGCTCAGTGGGTTTGGTTTCCAGAACCCTGCTCTCCACCCCTCAATCTGCAGGCCCTATGCTCACAGATGCATCCTCCCACCGGGTCTCTGTTAGGAGCGGAGCCGAGGAGGCCTGTGGAGCGTGGCTCTCGCCCTCCCAGAGGGGAAAGGTGTGCAGACGGTGCTGGTGAGGAAACCTGGCTTCCCCACCAATCGGCCCATCAGAGTGCTCGCCACTTAGTCACTCTCATTATCTCCACTTTTCTAGGGAGGAGGCCTCGCCACCGTGCCCAGGGCAGCACGTGAGTCAGTGATGAGGCTCCGGTCCTACCGGCCCCCACCCTGGAGCCCTGGTTCCCAGGTTGAAGTTCCCAGGCTGCCTGGCACGGAGATGCCCATGAGCGGGCATTCAGGCTTGAACACGACCCGGCAGCTGGGCTGAGCAGATCCTCAGGGGTATTTATTTTTTTTCCAGAATGAGTAAGACATCCATAGACTCTTCAAAGTTCTTGGATTCAAATACAGTGAGATGGTTTCTCACGTTCCTGTCACACAGCCAGGCAGCTTTTTTCATTAGAGGCTACGGGAGCCAGTTTCCTTAAAGGGGTGTTTTAATGGGAAAACACAAACAAAAAAGGCAGATAAAGGCCCACAGTTCCTTATCGGGAACCTTTGGGGGCAGGTGTGTTTGGGAATTCGGAATTCAACGTGTGTACAAAGGTAGGGCCGCAGGGGAACTTCCATTCTGCAGGTGGCTGTTGCTGGGTGATTGTGACAGGCGGACGAGCACATGGGGGTGGGGCCCGCCCTCTGCAGCAGAGGCTGTATTGAACCACTGCTGCCTTTTTTGTGCACAAACTTTATCTTTCTTTATCTTTCTTACCTGGAAAGCCCTGTGATGAGACAGCACCCTCTACTCCTGAAACAACAAAGGTAGTGTGTGTATATGTCACACCTCAGCAGGGACTGTGATAACACACGCTAATATTTCTGCACCAAGTAGGGTAAATAAAGCTGTAATCAGCCTGAAGTCAGTTCGGTTAAATTCAGGTTTTGCTACCAAATGTTGTTTGGGCCAAAAAAAAAAAAAAAAAAAAAATTTTTTTTTTTAAACTTCTGTTCTTTTAGAGATTTTTCAATTTCGTAATTGTGGATAAGGGAATGTGGACTTGTGTTTATACTACTCTTTATTTAAAAACTTATGGTAGTATTCTGTACACATTGGATCAGTACTAAAGAGCTTTTTTGTGTGTGTGTCATTCTATTAGGTACAGGCATCACAATTAATTTAGCCTGTTTATGGACATTTGGATTATTTCCAGTTTTCTCCCCTGTTGCATCAATGCTGTAATGAATAACATTGTAAACTCATTTAACACATGTGCAAACATATCCGTAGGGTAAATTCCTAGCAGTGGAATTGCTGGGTCAATTAATAATGATGATAGTTAACATTTGCATGGCATTTACTAAGGGCTGGGCAGCGTGGTAAGTGCTTTACAATAATTAAGGTATTTTAATCCTTACAGGATTCTCCAGAGGTGGGTACTATTATCATCCCATTTTACAGATGAGAAAAACTGAGGCAGGGAGACGTTAGATGACTTGGACAGCTGAGGTTCTGACCAAGGTGCTCTGGCTCCAGTCCATTCTCTTAACCATTGCATTCTATCGCCTTTTGAAGATCGAGGGAATTTGTAACTTAGAGGGACATTGCCAAATTGTCCTCCATACAAGCTTTCCCAGTTGCCGTTCCCACCAGCAGCGTGTGAGTGTGCTTGATTCCCCGCCAACGCTGCGCTGAGTCAAACTTTTTGATCTTTGCCAATCTGATAGGTGAACATGGTATCTCTGTGTCGTTTTAACTTGGGTTTTTTTAAACTATGAGTCAGGTTGAGCATCTTTTCATCTAAGGGCCATCTTATTTCCTTGTCCACTCATTTATATCTTTTGCTCACTTTTCTCTTTGGTTACATCTGTGATTTGTGTTGAGCTTTTTATATCTTAGGAAGATGAGTCCTTAGTGATTCAAGTTACACAGATCTTTTCCCAGGTAGTCATCCATATTCTAATTTTGCTTGTGGCGAGTTTGGGACATAGCATTGTGAGGAGGTAAGTGAAGGAAAAGGCTTCAGGGTTGGGAAGTGGAGGGAGGGAGAACTCAGAACAGATTCTGGAGAGAGATACCTTCTGCCGGCAGGAGGGAAGGAAGGTGATGGAGAAAGTGCAGGGGACTCCTTAGGATTCAAGCACACCAGGTGTGGCCCACTCGAGCTGAGGCTGGAGGAGGAAGGGCTCCATGGAAGACACAAAGATTTCTCTCCAAGAAAGGACTGTCCAGCTGCAAGGCTGTGGTCAGCTGGTAGTCTACAGCTGTTGGCTCCTGGAGGATCACTCAGCTTTGGAACCACATTTACGCTCTTTTTAAAAAAAAAAAAAAAAAAATCCTCACCTGAGAATATTTTTCCCATTGCTTTTCCAAGAGAGTGGAAGGGAAAGAGGGAGGGGGGGTGGAGAGAAAGAGAGAAACATTGATGTGAGAGAGACACATGGACTTGCAATGGAGGTACATGCCCTTGACAGGGAATCAAACCCGCAAGCCTTTGGTGCTCGGGCCGGCATTCTAACCACTGAGAAACACCGGCCAGGGCTTTTATGATCTTCTTGAGGTGGCCTTGGCCAATGATTGAAACAGGTGGTGGTACAAGTCTGTTTTCTCCCTCCTCTTTCCCAGGTGTTACCCCCTTCCCCCGTAAGTCATCCTACATTCCTATCTCCATCTCAGCATCAGCTTCCTGGTAAACCCAAGCAGCCCAGACTCCTAAAATCTTTTGGTAAAAATTGACATTCCTCTGTTAAAAATTTTTTATTGAAATATATTTCATGTTGTTTGAGTCTAAAGCTTTGCTTCTTTTTGTTTGTTTGTTCTTCTTATTTGGTGGTGGCTATAAATACCCTTTGGCTTGGACATAAATGGGAAATGCCGCCCTGTGGGTGAAGGCAGCGGAGGGTGGCCCTGCCAACAGCTGGGGGGATTCTGACCTCAGCTCAAATGCTGGGGGAACAGTATTGAGTGGCTGGGCTGGGTCTGGGGGTGACCAGCCAGGCAGGCCAGGACTGCTGGAAGGGTCCCTTGCGTAAGGTGTGTGGGAGCCCCTCCAACGCTGGCCCCAGGCCTGAGGACATAGCACACAGGGCACGGGGCTCAGATGTGCCAGCCCTCATCCGCGGCCTCTCTCTGGCCCAGACGTCTCTCCCAGGGCCTGCTGTTGTGCCAACTGGTCTCCCTCCCACCCTTTGTAAGTT